GAGACGAGTCCAAAAATTGTCAATATTTTGTTTTTTTATTTCCAATAACGATTCAGAGATGTCTTGAATCGGTGAAGATGAAAATCGAGTGCAGTATCGTGTTAATCTGTCACTCTCAGAAATGAATTTGGCAACCTGTTTTGGGCGTGTAGCTCCTACAAGTGTAGTTTGACTTTTGTCGCCATTAACCATTTTTGTTATGTTATTTATATAATGTTTCAATGAATTATTAATATATAACCTTGTATTAATTTTTTCAGTGTAAACTGAATTTACTTGCGATATAATTTTGTTGTGTTTTATTTTGAATATATTATTTAATTTAATTGACAAAAATCGCACTTTTAATTCAATAATATTTTTCATGTCCTTATGTTGATGTATTTAGGTACGCCCTTATACACGGACTTGTTAGTATATATTTATGTGCTCGTGAAATTGAGAGCTCGTTGAAGAGATCAAATACACAAAATTGTAAATAAGTATGCACGGATTGTTTGAGCGTATGTATGTATATTCTCTAATGCAATTGAGAGCTCGTTGAAGAGATCAATGTGCTTTTAGTTTTTTATGTACGCAATCCTGCTTGTTTGTTACAAGGGGTATTGCGGGATGTATGCCAATGTGGACTTTGAAAATATGTTTATTTTTGTTTATAATAAATTATTTATTATTTTAAAATTTTTAATATATACAGGCAATTGTAGTAGTGTTAACTTTACCACAACGTTTATTGTTTTATTTTTCATGTATTTTTACAACTTTTTATATTGTAAATATTCAATATGTAATTGACCCAATTTATATAGGGTATATAAGCATATGCATAGATTATATGCCGTATGTATAAATAATGATGCGAATGAGAAATGGTATGTTGTGTTGTCCTGTGTGGTGTCATCTGGTGTAGTGTCATCAGATGTGGGGTGAAATTCCTTGAGTGTTTACAGGTGTTGTGTGTTTCATTAAAGCGTGTCAGTTTTTGACGAGTAGAGTGGTGCACTTGGAGGAGGGAGTTTAAACTCATTTAAACATGTGGAATAAATTGTCTGTAGAAGTTAACTGTGGCTAAGAATCGCTTGAGGCCATTGACAGTAGTTGGGTTTTCGATATCTATAATAGCTTGTTCGTGTTGCTTTAGTGGTCGTATTCCCTCTGCTGAGGCAGTATGACTTAAAAAGATGATTTCCATTTTTCCGAAAACAGACTTGGTAACGTTGATTCTTAAATTGTGCTTCTGTAGACGTTCAAAAAGTTGGTGAAAGTGGAATAGATGTTCGTCTAGAGATGATGATGCTACACAGATATCGTCCATGTACGGAAATACAAAGTCTAGTCCTTGTAGGACTTCGTGTGTAAGCCTTTTTAATGTCTGTGCTGCATTTCGAAGACCAAAGGTCATATACGAAACTTCGAATAGGCCGAAAGGTGTGATGATAACCGTTATCGGAACGTCTTCTGAACAGGAACATGATGGAAGGCTTTTGGTAGATCGATCTTGGAAAAGATCGTCTTACCTCTTAAATTGCTCGTGAAATCCTGAAGATATGGTATACCTGTCTAGGATTTTAAAGGTGTTGAGTGCTCTGTAATCTCCACATGGCCGCCATGTACCGTCTGCTTTCTTTAGCATGTGAAGAGAGCTAGCCCAACTGCTCGATGGGCGGCAAATACCCAGTTTTATTAAACTGTCGAATTCTGCCTTAGCCGCTGCCAGTTTATCTGGAGAAAGGCGTCGACTGATCGTTTCCTTTTTAAGTCGACCAGTAGCCCATAGTGGCTTATAAAGTCGGCTCCTATAATTCCGCACGTAACGTCAGCGATGAGAAAATTCCAAAGGAATACATGTCCTAGACCTAAATCGATTTTAAGGAAGACTTCGCCGTATACGGTAATCGGTGTACAGTTTGCTGCGTATAACTTTACCGTCGCAGACTTCATGATGTTTTGGACGATTTTAGGAATTATGGAGGCGTCTATCAAAAAATTATGTTTGGAGAGGTCGTCAAAAAGTTTCAGGCGGTATGTGACTGCAGGACGTAAGTTACAGATGTGCGTTGCAGTCTTCGATACCACCATAACTCGTTCGTGTGCGTGGACTCCTGATGCATATATCGCTGGTTTCTCTGCCGGCTTTGACTACGGCTCCTCGGTCGTCGCGATTTTGTAACTTCGATATGCTTCGTTAGCTGAGCGATTTCGTTTCGGATTTCCTGTAATGTAATTGGCTCATCTTTGGCCTGCTTGGGGGCACTTATTTCCAGTTGTTGATTACATACAACGCTTATTTGTTGAAAATTCAAATCGGCAATGGCGTCTGTAATTGCGATTTTATCTGCAACGTCACCCTTTGATGCCAGCCACCCGTCGCATATCGTTGAAGAGTTGGCTTGGCTTTAAATCATCCAAAGGCATATCCGAAAGAACACATTGTACGTGACGTTGTTGGCTGTCCGCAAAATGCGCTTTTAGTTTGGGTTTAATGTATTCGTAGCGGTTAAGCGAAGGTGCTGAATCGATGACTGCCCTTAACTCCATTAGCTTGTTTGAAGGAACTTGTGCCATGACGAGGTTGTATTTCCTTGCGTCGTGTGTCACGCCGGTAGCTGCGAACCAGAACCACAATGACAAAAAATACGACTCGATGTTTGTTTCGAACATATTCATAGCTGCGTCCACGTGGAATTTTCGAAAACTAAATTTGCTTCGTCGGAGTCACCAGTTTTATTGGTTGCGTTTCTAAAAAAGATTCCACATTCAACTGATAAAACGTCAGTTCTCTCCCCATTTGGGTATCACCCACAGCCACCACGATACTCCCAAAAGGGCCAATCCGCATCAGCCAGGCCCCTGCTCCCCTGGGTACCAGAATTAAGTCTCCGGTCAGACCTCGTAGCCAAAGCTACCACCAGTAAAAAACCAAACGACCCTAACCGTTCGGCATTCCGACTAGTGGAGATCACACCGCTAACATCTAACTGTCCGTCAGTCCAGCTAATCCCCATACCCCCGAGATCCCTAATGTCCGAGTACATTGGGTACTCCGCGATCAGGTGAACCCAGTCTTCACATCGCGCCTTACACAAACACCCCGGCCTATCAGAAAGGTGCTTCTGATGCAAAAATGCATTTGGAGGCCCATGCCCCGTAAACAAAAAACCCAGACTCAAACAAAATCGGAAGTCTGGGTTACCCTCAACAAATCAAACCTCCCGGATGTACTCATAAGTCACCCGACTGTTAGGACTGTTGTCCCAACGGTCTTGCCTCCTACTCCTGACCCTATCATTTAGAAGCCTTTTGCTCCCTAAATATCCCTCCCTCTCCACATTATCATCAGAAGTCCAGTCATTCTGCAGCAATGACACACTCAAGCCCTTCTTAACCTGAATGCAACATCACGCTGTATGACAATCACGTCAAGAGGGGGTGCACCTAAGAAAACCTGCATCGCATCCGTTGAAACGGTGCGACATACAGGCAAACATGCAAGCATCATGCAACGTTGCACCGAGAGGAGTTTTCGGCGAACAGAGACCGTCATCGCTGATTTCCACCATACTGCGGCTCCATAAGTGGCACAAGCCACAAATAGGCCACGATATATGGTGCAAACAGCACGGCGTCCAAGGCCCCAATCGCTCCTCAAAATGCGTCGTACTTTTCCTACAATTGCCAGCAGTCGCTCCTTCAGATTGGCCGAGTGTGGAGTGAAACACAACCTTTCACTCATGGTCAGCCCAGGTATTTGACTTGCGTCACAACTAAACTCATATCTAAGCTAGGACAACCTATCAGAATTGGACCGTCGAGCGCGTTGAAACTTTTGCCTGAATCGCCTGACAGTCCTCCTCTTTGAGGTTAACTCTCGCGCCCACCACTTTATTTTCCTAACCATAAAACTTTCACACTTTCAAAGAACCCTATCATTTACCCCCCACACTACCTCATAAAGACGAGCAATCTGCTCATCAACCCCCAAATCCTCAAACACTCTAAGCGGTATACCTAATACCGCTTCCCTAACAGATCGTCTATATTGGCTCCAGTCGATACCAGAGGTACGCCAGCGCCGCAATGGACTCTCAAACCGGATCAAATTATGATTACTCAATCCCCACCCTCCCTTAACTTCCCATTTAGCTACGAATGCCGTATCTGCTGCCTGATTCATAAGCGTCACGTCAATGTCACTCACACCCTTAGGCCCATCAAAAGTACACCATTGACTCGGCTCATTCTCAATGTGGAGGTTTTTAGCCACTACCCATTCACTTAATGCCTCGCCTCGACTGTGGCTTTGATATTCAGACGTATGCCGGGATATCTTACTAAATCACATTGAAGACGAGGCATTCGCATTTAGCCCTAGGATAAATGGGCTACTACTCGCAAGTAGTAGTAGCTTATCCATGTAGAACAGGTAAGGCTCTAGGGGCTCGTTAAATTTGCAGTACAAACAAGCTACAATCAGCCTACTGAACTCCTCCTCTATCGTGACACATACACCCAGTTGTGAAGAATCCACAACTACGCAATCGTAGTTGGAATCACTCATAACAATTACAGCATTATCCCCAAGGTCCGTGTAGACATTGAAACTCTTAGGAAGACCCCGAATCACACTGTTGGTGGAGTAGGGCTCCTGGAGTGAGGCAATGCCGCACATCCACTCAGTCATAAACCCCCCCAACTCACACATTACGCCATACGCCCCCTTGCAGTTTAACTGTATTATTCCCCCCATCAGTGTCTGGCGAGGGCGCGTTCAACAATGCCACAGTATATCGGGCAGACAGCTGACATCCTAAGATACCCAGCTGGTCCACCCTTGAATGCACAACCGGCAGCTCTCTGGCCTTCCTGACCGCACCTCCGACAGACATCTGATTTGGCCCTACACTCAGCCACTCTATGATCGAAACCCATACACCGGAAGCAGCCAGCAACAGGGCTATTCGGTCGCACCCTGAAGAAGAACCACTTGATGTAGCACCTACCTGCCTCTTAGAGGGCGGACATCGTCCAAGACGACATTGGTGCTACCATCAGCGACCACCTTCCAGGGGCGACTGACCATCCATACGTCAGACATCTGGGACGCCGGGCTGAAATCCAGCAGGTTTTGCCGGAGTAACTCTTCCATTGACACATCATGGGAGATCTCCGTATGAAGCCCCTGATCTACAAGCCAAGGACCCAACTTCCGGTTGACTCACGTCCAACCCCACCTCCCCGAATTTTTCGTTATTCGACACTTTCTCCCTCTCTAAAACAGAGGGAGTGCGGATAACAGTCCCACCAACCTTAATTGGATTATTCTCGTGGATCCTAACTCCAGGGAAGGACCCAGCTCCTTTACCACTTTCTTTATAACTTCCTTAGAGGAAGTTGCAGGCCCCTTATTCCGGACCACAACGAACCAGGTCTCAACAGGTGCAATAAAACAGTTACACGGCTTGGTGGAAAGCAAGTAGGCCGATCATCAGGCAGTCAGCACAGGACTGTAACAGCGATCACGCGCATGACACTAGACTTAGCAGTGAGTCGATCCTCTGGCTAGTCGTAGTGTCCTAAGTTGTGAACGCCGTTCGTTAAGGGTGAGATCGGTAGTGAGTTGATCCTCTGCCCGACTCAACCCTTAACTTTCGGCTGCGGCAGAATCGCCACCGAAGCCTACACGAATAGCAGCGCTTCGTCACGACGGCCTACACGAGCGCCGGCAGCAAGATCTGGACGTCGTCGTCGTAGCACCCACAAGTGCCAACGCACGCAGCAGGACATCGTCGTCTAAGCCTACACGAGCGCCGGCAGATACATCCGGGCGTCGTCGTAGCACCCACGAGCGTCAACGCACGGAGCAGAACATCGTCATCTAAGCCTACACGAACGCCGGCAGAAAACATCCGAGCGTCGTCGTCGTAGCGCACACGAGCGTCAACTCACGCAGCGGTAGAATCGCCGTCGAAACCATCATTATCACAGGACACAAAACGTAAGTCATCCTAAGTCGCTTAGCAAATCCAGAGCGCGGCAGAGTAGAATACGCTATCGTATAAGCGCTATTCAACGGAAGCGCGGAAAGGCGGACGACGTTACTGCGGTAAGGAGTGAATGTCTTGCAGTGAGTCGATCCTCTGGCAGGCATTTCACTCCTTAGCGTGCGAAGGCTGGAAGTCACGCGTGAAGTGGGTAGTGAGTCGATCCTCTGACCTACTCCACGCTTGGCATCGCGGCCGCTGCCACTGCCCTCCGTAATTCCGCCTGATAGTGACGCGCGAACGGGCCACGTAAACCGCTACTCTGCGATAGCGCTATCATCGGGTGACGCCACTACAACGCGGAAGACACCATTTTGTACGGAAATTTAACAAAGTACGATTTGTAGAAAGAGTCCCACAGTTTACAAATTTATTGTAACAAACTCTGGACACGGCGAGTATACCTCATCAAATCACAAGAAGCAGGGGCAGTAAAAAGCTTCGTTACAATGGGCATTCTAGGTATTAACCGTCATTAGGAGTGCCTCGTACTTCGAAGGAAGCTCCATCCGCCCCTTCGCGGTCTCTATCTGAAAATTAGCAGCCCCAAAAACCAACCCACTTAGTTTACCCGAAATGCGCTTTACGGCCGCAACATGGCTAATCGCACCGCCCCCGGCAACGACACCCCCCTGAAGAGCTTCTCGGTTGCTCGCGCCACCCTTGCTCGAACTCGCCTTGTTAGCGCCCGATTTCTTCGCGCCCACATCCATGCTCGCACCACGATTAATGCGTTCTCACTAGGGTACAGCACACAACTCCAGCCAAAAGGCCGTAACGGCCGAAAGTCGACCGATGTGGCGCTGGACCGAAACGATCCGTGAGTTAAACGCACACTGCTACGACCGTTTGTCTGCACACGATGCACTTCTTCAGCACTGGACAGACGCCGGTACTTTTTGAGCAATCCTGCTTATAACCTGCTGAAACTGGCCAATTAAACGCCAGATGCCAAACACAACACTCCAAATGGACAGTCCAGCCAGCAAAATATGCCAACAACACAGTATAATACTGGGACCGTGTAAAGAGTCCACCAACAACAGCAACGTGTATAACCACGCTGCAAAAGTACTTAAAGGTACAGTACCCTATAATACACTATGTCTACTTACCGCTACACACGCCCAAACCACGTTCAAAAATGTGCACAAGAATGGACAAACGCGCAAAACTTGTGCACCTAGCACATGCGGTCACTAACCGAGCAACAATACTGCTTAAACCGATCGTACCAACAAAATGCACTACCGCTATAAGCACGCGCCAGGCAATAACGGTGCCAACTCACTCGCGTAAATAATACCGCACACAAGAGAATCGAAAAATCACCGAAAAAACCTAACCCGTCTATTCGCGTCGAAATCCAAACAACGAATGAGGCGACCTATATATATATAAATGAAATCCGTTTCCCGTTATCACGCCATAACTTAAGAACGGCTAGACCGATTTGGCTGTTTTTGTTTTTTTGTAGTTTTCTAATACTCTATAGAAGGTTCCTACATAAAAAAAATATTAAGAAAATGTCTCAGAAAGCTTGAACAAATACATTTATTTTTGCATATTTACAAAACGCGCGTAACGTATGTCATCGTCATTCACAGCCATAGACTATATTGAAAGAGCATCGTTTGTTCCGAAATGTGGTTACTTAATTAAATTCTATCGCACTAATTTACTAATTTTTGAAAATTACTCGCTCCTTAAATATATAGACATAGACGGTAATATTAATAATCCCAGTGATGATTTCATTTTAATGTAAGTATTTAATAATACTAAAATATGTATACTATGAGCTAGATTTCAGAACGCAGTGTACAAACTTTGCATAAAATAATTTAGTAATCTGTGGTAATCTGACACACATAGCGTCAACAATAATTTTATTAAGTTTTTGATAAAGTTTGTGTTGTTTTAAAGACTAAGAAGTTTTTTGTTTGCTAATAAGTGTTTGTTAATCACGGTAAGTTCACAGCTTAATATCGATTTTTGGTAACTTTTGATGACTACAAAATTTTTTATTTTCAGTTGGGGTTTCGTTTTTAAAAATGCCACCAAGCAGACGTACAAACTTAGGCCGCAGAACTCGAAATACTGCAAGTCAAAGATATATAATATAAGAGCAAATCAAACTGATGAGCAACGAGAAGCGCGAAATGAAGTTGAACGGAATCGAAATCAAAACATAGAAATGTTGTGTTTAATCCCCACAGAGCTGCATTCAGTTATATTGTGGCAATTGATTACAGTTCAGAGCAAATTGTTGCTGTTGAACTAATAAATTTTGTGTGTCCACATTTCAAGGCATTGAAATTCAAAAATGAAGAACCCTGGAGGCCAAGTCAAATTGACCCCATTGTTACCGCCACCAGAGCTACTACAATCATTGGTTTTCGGAAATTGGCCAGATTCTTATCATTTTTAACTAATATCCAGCAATACAATAATTGCTTTCAAATGACATCATTTGGCGCAACAAAAGTTATTCGAGATAATTTTATGCCTACTTTCAAGGTAAGTACAAAATAATGGCAAACAATTTTATTTAGTTTTACCGCTCCTTGACTAGCTTTGAATGCACGGTTCGCGCACTCAGGGCTTGTATTGCCGCTCTGCTGTCGGAGTGAATGCTCACCTCTCTAAACGAAGCTACACTACGTAACAGTACTTCTACCGCCACCTTGATCGCGGCCACTTCCGCCTGAAAAACGCTACAGTGGTCCGGTAGCCTGAAGCAAAGATTGACGGAGAGCTCTTTACAGAAAACCCCCCTCCAACTTTCCCTCCTAGCTTCGACCCATCCGTGAAAAACTCACCGCGCCTCTTCTCCAGCGGCTTTCTTCCCTCCACATCTCCCTCGTCGGGATATGAGCAGAGAAAAGCCGCCTCGAGAGGCCGCTGTGACGCAGTGATCCAAATTTTCAGGAATGCAGGTGAAGGAGGAGAGAATTGCGGCGTGTCCTTGTTCGGACCTCTTCACAAGCCCAGCTTCTCTGAGCCTAATAGCACACCTCAGCGGCAATGCACCTACCGGCAATGTCCACGGGTGCTATATTTAATATAGCGTTGAGAGCTATCGTTGTGTGGTTCGCAGTGTACCGGAGATTCCGATGAGCGCTGCTCTTTGGACTCGCTCAAGCTTTTTAGCCAGGGTAGTCTTTTTGAGCGCCTTCCACCAGACGAACACACCATAGAACAGTATTGGTTGACTACGGTTTCGTAGAGCCAGAACACCGCCTTTGGTGAGAGTCCCCACCTTTTCCCTATAGCTCCCTGCAGCAGTATAAGGCGACCGATGCCTTCTTGACTCTCTCCTCGATGTTCGGCCTCCAAGAAACCTTTCTATCCAGGATGAGCCCTAGGTATTTCACCTTATCAAACAGGTTAAAGACGTGAACCCCCGAAGGAGGGAGAGGCACTTTTGGGATCTTATACTCCTAGTGAATAAACCATTTCGGTTTTACTTGGGTTGACGCTAGGCCGCTTCTGTTTGCCCAGTTGGATACCACGTTTACGTGACTCATAGACCGGTATTCAGGAATTTACCTTTAACCATAAGAACCATATCATCAGCATAGGCTATACTCGACAGCCTGCCCTCGAGTTCTATAAGTAGGTCGTTTACCACCAAGATCCAGAGCAGAGGGGAGAGTACTCCTCCTTGCGGAGTTCCCCTATTTACCTTTCTGGTTGACTTGGCACTACCCCACTCCGCTACGACAGTTCTGCCGCAAAGAAGATTGAAAATGAGGTGTTTGAGGTTCTATTCCACTTCAAACTTTTCGAGGGCTTTAACCACTGCCTCTGGCCGAACGTTATTGAAGGCCCCCTCGATGTCGAGAAAGGTGCCCACTGCAAATTCCTTTTGCAATAGCGTTGTCTCCAGCCATGACACTACATCATGCAAAGCAGTGTCGACCGACCTGCCCTTGATATAGGCATGCTGCGCTCGTAACAGTTTACCCCTCGGTATTCTGTACCTGATGTACAGATCCATAAGTCTCTCCAGCGTTTTCAACATAAACGAGGATAGGCTGATGGGTCTGAAATCTTTTGCACCGACATGAGAGCTTTTACCGGCCTTCGGAATGAACGCAACCTTAACCTGTCTTCAGGCCTTCGGGACATGGCCCAATCTAACACAGTTCGCGTAGATAGGGGCCAGCCAGCTACATGACACCTTAACCGTTCGCTGTAGTTGCGCCGGTATGATGCCATCAGGACCCGGGGACTTGAAGGGCTTAAAAGATTTCAGCGCCCAGGTAAGATGACGCCCATCCAGAAGGTCCAAGAAGACCTTCTTCAGCAAAGCGATTCTGTGGAAAATGAGCATCTAGGAGTAACCTCAGCGACTCCACGCTACTCGTAGTCCACCCGCTATCTGCATTTCTTAAAAACCCCACCGGAGTAGGATTTTTCGCAAGAATGCGTCTAAACCTTGAGGACTCGGGACAACCCTCTACACTGTCGCAGAAGGCTTTCCACGAAGCCCTCTTGGCTTTCTTCAAGTCGGACTTGTAAATGGCCAATCCGGCCTTGTACAACGCCCAGTCGTCGCTAGAGCCACTTTTACGGGCTTTATTGAAGAGTCTTCTACTCGAAGATCTGATCTCCGTTAGCTCCGAAGTCCACCAAAAGGGTTTCCCTCTACTTTTCTGAGTTTTCAGAGGACTGGAGCTTTCAAGAGCAGATCTGCTAACAGAGCTGAAAACCTCGACGAGCTCCTCAATCGCGTCCGCAGATAGGATCGAATCCCTGTCAGGCGCGGTTTGGAGAGCTGATCGAAGCTTCCTGCAATACAGGATCCAATTGGTATTCCTGAAGTTTCTGTAGGTTCTATGCTTCGGGCGCGAGGCGTCCAAGCTGAACCCAATATATTTATGAAAAGGAGTGGTCGTCTAGAACTCTCCATTTCGAGATCAAAGGAGCAATTTCCCTAGAGGCTAGCGTGACATCAAGGACTTCCGCCCTGCTAGCTGTCACAAAAGTAGGGCAGTTTCCCCTATTACAGATAAAAAGGTCTACATCACAAATAAAATCAAAAAATGACTCACCTCTTGCGTTTGTGTCCCAGCTCCCCCAGACGGTGTGCCTTGAGTTGGCATCCGAGTCTATAATAACCGCGGCTCCTTTGCGTCTGGCCTCTGCCAGAGCCATCCTCAGCAAGTTCGGAGGTGGTTCCACCTCGTCGTCGGGCGGCATGTAGGCTGAGACAAGCCAGATTTCCCTAGCACTGTCCTTCAGCCTAGCGGTGACGACGTCCTCGTTGCTGAAATTAGGTAAAAGAAAAACGTTAAGTTCATTTCTCACCAACAGGCAGGCTCTGGTTCTACCTGTGCTGCTTGCCGCCAGGAGCTTATGGCTTTTTGTCCTTAGTCCAGATATCCCATAGCTACTCAACCACGGTTCCTGGATAAGGACAACGTCGGCTTCGTCCCTTCCTAGACGAAGCGCTAGATCGGCGGAGGCCGCCTTTGAGTGCTGGAGGTTAATTTGGAGGATCTTCATCCTCCAAACTCCTCTCCAGCAGTGCAAGTTCCGCACCATCGTCCATATCGTCGACGCCAGCCTCCTCGAACAGATGCTCGAGACTGAAGACGGATGCGCCATCACTTGACGATCCGCCCCCCGTGCTCACCGCGTCCGAGAGGATATGGTCGACGTCCATTTTCGAGAGGGGAACTTTCCCACTCTTTTCCACCCCCGCAGGAGGCAGCGGGCCATCCGCCCTGGCTTCTGTTGGGAGCGTCTTGAGAACGACTCTATCGAAGCCATAGCTTATGGCCCCCTTTGTGACACTGAGAGGAGCGAGGGACTCCTTGTTCAGGAGTATCAGCGCTTGCCGATATGGTGCCTCGGTCCTCTCCAGCCTGATCACCCTCCAGTCTTTGGTGGGGAGAGATGGGTTGCAGTACCGCAACATCTCTTCAATTTCGGCCGGGGTGGAAGGTTCGGCCGGAAGCCAGACCCGAGCCCGAGGCAGCATCGGGAGATCCGATTTGGCCACCGCCTCGAGCCTTGCTCCTTTCCACACCTCCCCTACCCTGCCTACCGCCTCCTTGTAAAGGAGAGCCGACCGACTCCAGGGCTTCCCCTGACCACCTTCATGAAAACAGCAGTGATAGCAGCCAAAAACCGCAAGAACTCGTCATGGGAGATGGCTCCATCTCCTCTGCTTCGATCGTACACCCCAAGCTCCACTGAGCTTGCGAGTTTAGCGATTTCGCTAAACATAGGTGCGGGTCCAACCCGAGGCTTTTTGCCGAGGGAGGAATTCCCCTCCTGCGATCTCTGCCGCTTTTTTGAGGTTTGGGGCCCGCTCGGCCCCACTTTACCGTCGCCCACGTCGCTCAGCACCTTTTTGGCCCACTCCAGTGTGCTAGCATGCTGGTCAGATTTCTGATCAGCCTGCTTGTCACCGTAGCGCTCCAAAATCCTGGCAGCCAGTCGACGATCAGACTTCAGCTTTTTAGCTGCAGTCACTCGCTTCCCCACCGGGCCCTTAGCGCTCGCCGAGGACCCCGTGACCCCCATGAACTTAGCAGAGGTTCCTCTGCTAGTGCTGGCGATTCCGCCCCGCACTTCCGCCCTACCCCAGGTTGCCGTCGGCAGACTCCTGCCGACTCCCACTACCTTGCCGCCCCCCGTGACGGTAAGCCAGGCACCCCCTGGATTACCTTTCTCACCCTTAACCGGGGACGATTTCGTCCCCTTCGGTGAAAGTGTCCCCCCCAGGGAACCGTCTACTACAGCGGAGGTCGGTTTCGACCCGCTTCCTCCCTCGTCCGTAGTGTTTATGTTTGTGTGCATTTTGTTTTGTTGGGTCCCCACTCAGAGCCGCTATCCGTCTCCCGGAAAGGTAGTCGCCTTTTATGGTCCCAAGGTTGTCTCAGTTACGAGGCCAAGGCGAGGGTTGACGCACTCCCTTATGAGGCAATGCGTTCAGAGCCGACCAGCGCAAAGAAGGAGTCATCTCAACAAACACCTACCACACCAACTTAATGATGACGGGAGGGGAACGTACTCCGAGGCCTGCCATGGCCTGCATACTCAGGTGACAGAATACCAAGACCACCAGCCCAGGGTTCAACCGAATCCATCTAATTGTCAAAGCTATGTCCAGGTCGAGCAAAGGTCAGATCAGGAGTTTTATGGCCGTAAAGGTCGCAGGTCATTTGGCGTTACCCAGGATGCACCATGCGGAAGCGAACCTGCTCTACATCCCAACAAAAAAGTTAGTTCAATGAATTATTATTCATACAGTCTGATAGTTCAGGAAAATGAGGATAATCACATCTTAAAATGTCGGCGTCTATTTCACCAATATGCTGTGGATATGTACGTGAAAGTTGACACTGAACGATTGACATTTATCAGGTTGAACCAGGCAAAACTCCGTTCCGAGGATTACATTCATCTTCGGGATGCCATCAATGCTGATGGAAAAGCACAGAATGTTGGCAGAACAACTATTCTCCCAGCAACATACGTCAGAAGTCCGCGACATATGCATGAATATGCTCAAGATGCTATGTCGTATGTACGACATTATGGCACACAGTGGACAGAAATTTAACAAGAATTATTTACTAGCCAATCACCCATTGATCGCCACGACATCACTGCAAGGGTGTTCAAAATGAAATTAAAATCACTCATGGATTTTATTGTTAAGCATCGCGTGTTCGGCGAGACGCGCTGTTAGATCACTTGGTCGTACATTTGGAAAATGGTCAATGGGTGTATTTTACAGATGCGAACGTATTACAACAAATTGAAAGGCCACCATCGACAACATTAACCAGCTTCTTTGAAATGTGCCAGAAGGACGATTTTGCCAGAACGCTACTTTACTCCAAAATGCTTACTTGTTTACTTCAAAATGCCAAGTTGTTCGGTAGCGATTTGTAAAAATGTAAATGTAAGTTATGAAACCCTATGGAATAAACACTATTATGAAAAAAAATATATATTTTTATTTAATAAAATTATGAAATTAGTAAAGTCCTTCTCAGTTGAAGGGAGATCAGGGAAATGGGGATTCATTTTTATATGGAGGATATTATAGATTCCAGTTTAAATTGAATAGGTACTCATACCTTAGACAATAGGACTGTCAGCTATATAAAATAAAGCAGCTAGTCTACAATAAAATATCTTACAGTATTTCACTTCTCTTGGGAAATCTCAGTGGTGGACCGACCAAGGTTATATTCTTGAAGCGAGGTTGGAGGCTGCCAATTCAAAAAAAAGTTCTACTCAAAAAAAACTAAGTTAACCCCGGAGTTGAACCGACCGGCCGCAAACGCACAAAGGAATTCTACGCAAAAAATCAATAATGTCTTATTTATTTCCTGCCATAAGGTTATTATCCGTTCTTTTATTTCTTTCAGTTCATTTACAAAAGATGTCGATAAGGTAACACTGGCTATTTATCAGTATGCAACCGTTTTGTTATTGTGTGAATAAGTAGAATTGAACAAAAAGTTTAATATTGAATATAAGCTATTTTTGCGTATATAATGTTTGGCCAAATGAGTTACAATTCCCGCCCCGAAGAACTCAGACACACCACACACAAGATAACACTGGCACACACACCACACCTGGAAACAGCAAAACACCCACACACCACACCAGACAACACTGGCACACACACCACACACAACACCCACACACCACACAAGGATCTCTACACAACACACCGAACAAAACATCTGTCCTCGAAGCAGACAGGCCTCTTCTCTCAGCGACTGTCGAGTCTGAAACACCATTTCTTTGGCGCGCGTATCAATTTATCCCGGCTATCAATCATTTTTGTTATACTCTCGCAATTTGTTATTGCACAACGTTTTTTATTACCTCTCCACTGGTATGCGACCAGGAAGTGCGTTAAGTTAACACTTTGTAGTTATCAAAAAAAAATAAAGTTTGTGAATAATTTTGATACGAAGAAACATACGATTTTAATTTGCGGAATTTGAAGTGAAAAGTAAGTGGTGGTGTTAACATATGGTCCTTCGAGCCCTAGTGGACGGCACTATGGGTTACAAAACATATTAAAAGGTTTAAAATAAAGTGAACAAAAAAAAAAAATATATAATATATATATATAAAAAAAAAAAAAATATATATATATTATATATATATATACATAAAAAAAGCATAAAAAAGTGCACTGACAACAACAACAAAAAAAAATATATATATACATATGCTTTGGTGCAGTGACAACAAAAAAAACAAACAAAAAAATATATATATATATTATATATACATAAAAAAAGCATAAAAAAGTGCAGTGACCACAACAAAAAAAAATTATATATATATATATATACATATGCTTTTGGGGCATAATTAACAGTGCAGTGACCCAAAAAACAAAAAAAACAACGGGCGCGGAAAAACAAAACCCAAAATTAAACTGAAAACGGGCGCGAATTAAAACCCATATATATGTA